ATATACACCAAAAGGTTATACATCTCATCCCAGAGTGTGATGCATCAACTGTATTATTTTAAACATGAAACTATGAAACCACATCTGTGGTCAAGTGCTGCAGTAGCATGAGCTGCTGGCATCGCAGTCTGGGTTGATCATGGATCGTGATGGCTTCTGATTGTACATTATGATTATAACTAGCTTGCTTAGATATACAATATGCCTACTCACATATACCATCAATACTGCTAATATCCCCTCATCACATATATCATTGCTGCTCCCGTCATCTCTATCAGACTTTTAATGTTGTATTAATACTTAAAACATTGATACACTTCTCCATTTATGTTAGACATCTTTTCACTAATGATAATTATAAATATTGTTATTTTATAGATTTGCGCTGTTACACACGACATCTTTTGCACTTCTGTCCATCCTTGGAGAGGGAGCCACATGCCATTCTCTGAGGTGTCTAAATGTTTTTGCTCTATATAACCCGGCCCTGTTTTTGTTTTTTGTTGGTAGTTTTCCCGAAATTTTGCCAATGATGTTGCACCATGTTAAGCCCTATGAGGCAAATAGGGATTTGTGAACATGAGCTATACAAATAAAATTGGATTGATTGATTGATTTGCATGAAAGAAGTGGTGTCATTTTACCTTGTAAAATATCTGATCCAAGCCGAGGTTGGTTTTGTCTTGTAAGCTGATATCTTATGGTCACTAAAGACCTTTACTCACATCAAATTGGTTAGGGTTAGTCTCGTTGAGGAATAATTATATACTCAGCCCCCATTCTTATACTGTTATTCTTATCCACCCTTATTCACTTACAGGAAAAGGAACATTCATTTTACGCAGCATAATGTGGTTTCAGGTGCAGGGGAGTTCTCTATAAGTGATATAAAACAGTTTATTGCTCCAGAGCAATCTGTGTGAAGTCTGATAAATGTCCATAAATGTAATGTTGCTAGTCGAGTCAGCAACTCTGGGGCTAAGGACTTCAAGTCAAACAACATATCTGTGAATGTGGAGTTGGAAAGAAGTGAGATTACCAGACCTCTGTAGTCTGCTCATTAACTCTGCTTGAGGCCAGAGGCTTTAAACTACATTTGTCGCTTTAGGAAAGTTGGATGCATTGTGGGAAATGTAGGCACCAGGTGTTGACAGAGAGGAAGACTGCCTGTCTGATCTGCCTCAACAAGCTTGATCCTTTTTAGTTTCAAGCAATGATAGTAATTTCTTATGTTAACTTGTTTTAAGCAGGGTTGCTGGCTGTGGTTCAGGACATGGAGCAGATCATCACAGAAGGTTGGTGGGTTTGTACATGTGTGATGGAAAAAACACTGGCTATAGAAGCACTGTATGAATGTGTTTGTGAATGGGTGAATGTCACTTGTGAAGTAAAGTGCTTTGGTCAATAAGACTAGAAAATAATTATTTAAATAGAGGCCATTTCTGGAAGGCTAAATGAATGGTCTTCGAGTTTGTGATATATTGTTCAAATAAGGCCCCACAGCTGAGCCATCTCTAGAACAGAGCCAACTCCATGAATATGATCAATTATTGGGATAGGTGCTCACTTTCTTTGGGGAAGACCATGTGTTTGGTATTGTCCAAGTGTCCATCGTTGACCTCTGGATCGATTCCCAGTAGATGGCACATCAGTGGGTACACATCAACCAGGTCAAAGTGATCTACCACCAGGTCTTTCTGGAAGTCGGGCCCCACTGCCCTGAAGAAGGCTTTCATATCCATGGCATCGTTGTCAAAGCCATGGTCTCCTTTGTTGATGTGAAAAGGTAAGAACTATATGGACGCAGAAAATGAGACATTTTGGTCAAGTGGTATGTGTCACACAGAAACCCAACAACTATTACACCCGAATCAAAGAAATTTGGACCTATATTTAATTGCCTTAACCTAGGCCAAATGTGTGTTAGCCATTGGTAACTAGGTGTTTCTATAAAGATGGAAATTAATTCAACAGTATTGATGTTTAAATATCATTAAATGAAAATTTTATACATTAATTGTAAATTTGTTAAAAGTACTTTATCGCACAGACAAGTAAAAAAAGAGAATTTGGGGAAAGAGGTGTATATTGTTGTCCTCAACAATTCATTTTAATTCTACAAGATAGAGATAGTTATGGGTACACACAAAGATTCTCAAACATACAGAGTTCCTTAAACCTCACATACACCTTTACGCTCTCACCCTACTGAACTTGGGATAAATATGTATTCTCTCACCCCAGAAACACTGTATCCAGGGTCAGCAATGAGGATGATGGGCAGGAGTCGAGGATGGTTACTGTAGTGCAGCCTAGCTGGCACCTCCTCTTTCTTATACACATGAAGGTGAGGGTGGCTTCCTTTCAGAGCTTGGTATACCTTCTCCAGCTTCCCCTCTTTAGGGAGCAGCATCCCAACAGGACCATAATCCAACAGTTGGAACTGGATGTCTCTGAAGCTGAAGCCAGGGATCTTTGAGAGGATAATCTTCTCAACTACTCCACCCTGTAGCATTGTAATCATACCATGGTCAGAGGTGATGATAATGTTGAGCCGGTCAGTAAGGCCATGGTCTTGGATCTTGTCACGGATGTAACCTATAGTACGATCTACTTGCTGGACCATCTCCCTCACTTCTGGTGAATCTGGTCCATATCTGTGCCCAGCCAAATCTGGTTCTCCGAAGTACAAAGAGACAAAGTCCAGGTCTTGTTGATGGAACCATTCTCCAATCACCTTATCAATGTTCATCCTCCAGTCGGTCTCATTCGAATGATCATAGAAACGAGGTTCTACCTGCCTAAACCTCACAATTTCTCCTTTGTAGGTGGCTGCTGTGCCAGGGAAATGGAGTGAGCCTGCTTTTAGTCCCTGGAAATTGATAAGACCCAATGTAAACAAGAGAAAAGACAAGTCTTCTTTTTCTACTACTGTAGTTCCACATCCCACATTAAATTTGGATGTAGCTCAATAATGCAATTATTTGAGGTAGGTAAATGGAAAATAAATAGTGGGATCTAATATACCTGTCTCTGTGCTGTTATCCAGATGGGTAGGCTGCCATTGTCCCAGTAGGAATCAACAAACTGAGCCTCGTAGTACTGCTTCTTCTCCTGAGTGGTAGTGTTGAACCACATGTTGTGGATAACTCCGTGATTTTCAATGTGACGTCCTGAGGAACAAAACAAAAAAACAATATGTACATGTTTAAATTTGACATCTTAGTTTACTATTGAATTATTAACTTATGAGTAAGTATCCATAAGTTAATCAATTAATAATTTGCAGTGACCTGGCTCTGAAGATAAATAATGCGATAAACTTTGATGCAGAGTTTTGCATGACCTGTCCACTTTTGCCCATTAACAGAGCCAGAATTTACTTAAAGGTCCAGTGTGTAAGATTTAGGTGAAAGGGATCTATTGGCAGAAATTTAATGTAGAATAATCCTCATGATAGTTTCACTAGTGTGTTTCATCTTAATTGTATGAATTGTAGTTTTCATTACCCCAGAAAAGACCCTTTATATTTAAATACTTTATATTTACATTGAGGGGACCCTCTCTACGGAGGCCGCCATTTTTCTTTTTTACATTAGTCCAGACTGGACAAACTAAACACTTTTTGAGTTTTTATGACAATTACAGGCTACCACAGGTTCTTTTTTATGTTTGGAAGTGGAGGGTGAAGTGAGGGGTGTTCAGCTGCAACATGAAATTTCAACATTAGATATCATATATCCCTGCCATGCTTTAACCCCACACTTAAGCCACATATCAATTGAATACACAGATGTTAAACAGTTGATTTTACCTGTCAGCATTGTGAAGTGAGAAGGGCTGGTTATGGTGATGAAGGAAGGAGTAACATAAGTTGCCTTGACCCCGTCTTGTGCCATTTTATCCAGGTTAGGGGTTTCAGTGACTCGGTCATAGTCGTAGCGGAAGCCATCGAAGGAGATGAGCAGCAGCTTGTTTCCGGTGGATCCAGTGAAAACTGACTGCAGATCAGAAACATAGTCCCTTGGTGGGGCAGCAACACAGGGAGAGCTGGCAGTTAACACAAGGACAACAAGGCAGACCAACAACATGATTGAGGATTAAGAGCTTGTTGTAACTGGAAATCCTCTGGCCACAATGTCCCTCAATATTTTTCAGATCGAAATGTTCCTTTGCTCCAACTGCCTTTTGTCAATAGTATGACATTATTCGAAGGAAAATGTGAGACTGGGGTTCACAGTGTAGTCGATACAACCTTAATAAAGTTTTATCTAGCCAACCCTTATCTACCCATAAAAGTAAGACAGGCTTTATGCTTTTATTAGTGTAATTGGTATTGGTTGATTGGGATAAGGCGAGAGAGAGTGTGTGTGTGTGTGTGTGTGTGTGTGTGAAAAGAGCTTGAGATTGCGAGCCTTTTGAACCTGATGGTCAAGATATAAAAAGTTATTGACAACAAACCAAAGAGATATTTACCTACTAATTCCATAAACATCCATCTGTCTGTATTTGAAACGCATATCTCATAAACTGTTCATCTAATCACTTCACGCAGCAGTATTGTAAATTGCCCAACTAAGTGCACTGATGATTTTTAGTGTGACTTGAAAATGGGATACATTCAATTTAAATAAAAATTGAATAATAAGGTATACAATTTATTATATAATAATATAAAGATTAATTTAATTGTATTATAGATAATATTTACTCCTTTTTACAAGGACAGCTCATCAGCCTGGTCTCCCTGATGCATCCAGTATAATACATGTACATACAAAAAAACTGAATTCCTTCACCCTGCTAGATTCCCCAGACACAAAATAGGCTAACTACAAGCAGGAGGTGACAGTAACAGAAGAGAGGATTGTTACTAAGATAACAAGGAAAGTAAATTTAAATTTGCTATGAGGGATAAAATAACCTTTTACCAGTACAACTATTCACCCACTGAAATATTTGGTCCTAAATAACCAGAAAATGATCTGATTGATGAAAACGATGTTTATCAATGAGAGCCTGCTCGCTTTGCATGTTACCACAACACTGAATGAGATTACAGAGAATCAGTTTCTCTGTACAATAAAATCCCATAATCCAGAGTCCAATGCCAGACTGTCAATACTTTAAATAGACCAGCAGGTGGCGACTCCACTCCATGAGCTCAGGTTCAAGACAACAGATTTCACTCCAACCCCAACCACGGAGTACTGTTGGTGGTTACAGCTCTATGAAGAGAACATGTAGCACAGTCACTCAGGTGGGTGAAAATAAAATGATGATGATGAAGTGTAATATAAAAATGTGTCAGTCCGTGTGATGTGTTTTGAAATAACAAAAGTTTAATCCTCAAGAAAGAGAACAATGACCTGCAATGATCTAGATTTTCTTTTGTATTGTGAGTGAAGATAATATTAACATTGGTGCAGAGCAGGTTGTGTCTGGTCCACTGTTAAAAGATGCTTATAAAGGTGTTGACATTAATCTTCCTGTGTAATTGGATAATAATGTGTTTGGTATTTAAATTCTGATTCCAAATGAAAGACATTGAATAAATGCAAAAAAAAGAAATGCTGCTGGACATTCAGTGGAATACGTAACATCCAATAGACTTTTCTAGAAAGTATTTTATTTGAATGAAAGCTGGGATGGTTCTGCTATCTCAGACAGGGAATGAGGTGCAATATAGCTGCCAGCCTCCTTGGAAAGAGATGTATCATAGTTATTACACTCATATTACATTTGTACACACAAAAGATACGTTTATTTTAGATTCCTACACAACATTCTGAACTACACTGATATGATTGTTTTAGTTGTTTTATATGAAGGCATCCAATATTTGTTCTTGTGGAGAAGACCTCACACCATTGGCGTACCACTAAAACCTATGAGAATGGGAAAGACAGAACATTGTGACGACTATTTTGGTATTTTATTTCATATTTGGTAGAGTGACCTGCACATCCTCACTGACATGTAGTTATTTTGAATTGTTCAGGTGATATCTGTCAATCTATCTGTCACATATTGAGTTTTTCCTCCACAGTCGCCAAAGTGCTGCTCATTGAGGGAACTGTCGGGTTTCTCTATATTTTATACAATTTTAAGGTCTTGACCTTCTATGTAAAGTGCCTTGAGATAATGTATATTATGATTTGGTGCTATACAAATAAAATTGAATTGAATTGAATATTGTACAAAACCCACAGATGATTTCATGGCGTCATTCAAAAATGGATTCCTCAACATCTTCACCTTTCAAGCTAGCTTCAACTTAACATATCCAAAACATGAGGCACTGTCTCCACTGAGAGATGTCGGTCAGCCGGGCAGAGATTCTTGCTGCTACCAGTGTTTCAGACTGGGGAAAAGAGAGAATTAGTAGAGTGTCATCTGCGTAGCTGTGGTAGGAAAAGCCATGTGAGTGAATGACAGAGCCGAGAGAGTTGGTGTACAGAGCCTCACAGGATTGGAACAACTTACCGCAACACATAAGAAACTGTGAACACTAAAATGTGTTTTGTTTTTGTGTTATCTGTTGTCTTACATGTCATTCTTATGCTCAGGTGTGCAGCTGCCCTCTTTTCTATGTATCTAAGTGTTCACACCTCACCAGGCCTTATATATATAGTGTATATATTTATACTGTGTATATATTGATATTGTGATGTCTTGCTTTTTGTTTATTATTGTCATATTGTTCCTTTTGTGTATTGTAAGAGCTGGTGCTCTTGCTTTTATGTAAGGCCCAGGGACTACAGCTGAAAATTAGCCTCTGTGGCTAACTCAGGCATATTTTCATAAATGTTATTAGTATGCACTGTCCCTGTCAACTAAAGTAATAAAGTAAAGTCATGTAAAGATTTTTTGGATTTTGATATTTCTGTTCTGTGGTGCGGAGCATTTTGTTACAACAATGAAACGGTTGACGGTTTGATCCCCAGCTCCTCAGTCCACATGTTTAAGTGTCCTTTGGCAAAATGCTCAACCTCAGTCCTTGGCTGTGCCGTCAGTGTGTGAATGTGTATGTGTAAAAGAGAAAAGCTATATGAAGTGCTACATAAATGCAGCACATTTACCTTCCATTTATCTGTAAAAGCTTTTCTTCAATAAAAAACCTGATGAATTACATTTATAATCCACTAACCAGCATTTCGATAGTTCGAACCATAGCTCCTTTAGTCTGCATTCTGAAGTGTCCTTGCACAAGACACTGAACCACAAACAATGGCTGGGCTGCTAGTGTTTAGATGGTGTGTGGCAGAAGAAGCACAGTGTATAGAAGTGCTGCATGAATGTTTGTGAATGGGTGAATGTGACTTGTACTATAAAGCTCTTTGATTGGTTCATACGATTGGAAATGTGCTACATAAATAAAGTCAAAACCTTTTACACTACAGAAGTAATCAAAATACACTGATTGCAGTTGTCACTCATATGACATTGGTTCGGGGGATTTGTAACTCTCACATATCTCTGTGAGTGATGCCTCAGTGAAGAATGACCTCAGGACCAGCAGTCAGTGAAAAGCTTTTTCATTTGTCCTGGTGGTGAAGATACACTTTAATATCTTAATGCAAGGTTGTGGAGGTCAGTTTTGAAACAAGAGGACAAAACAGATTTCTTTACAGCTAAAATAAAAATGAATAAAGATTCCATCACATTTTTCTCAAAAATGATCAACTTCAAATCAGGTAAATCTATTGTAACAGTTTAAAGATGGTTTCCTCTACTTAATTTGTGAAGCAGTGTTTATAAGGCCTGCAGCCACTGTGTCCATAGTAACTCTTCTCATGCCCTCTGTCACCTCTGTAGCATTTCAGCTGTTATCATCACTTAAAGGTACAGTGTGTAGAATTTTGTGATATCTAGTGTTGGAATTGCATGTTGCAGCTGAACACCCCTCACCTCACCCTCTCCTTCCAAACATGAAAACTAACCTGTGGTAGCTTCAGTTGTCATAAAAACTCAAAAGGTGTTTAACATGGCAGCCTCCGTAGAGAGGGTCCCCTATATGTAAATATAAAGTATTTAAATATAAAGGGCTTTTTGTGGGGTAAAGAAAACTACAATTCATACAATTTAGATGAAACGAACTAGTGAAAACATCATGAGGATTATTCTACATTACATTTCTGTCCAGTGTGTAAGATTTCACCTAAATCTTACACACTGGACCTTTAAACACCAATTGAAAATTGTCTTAGGTAGCAGTGTGGCATGTGCCTTCTTTGTGGGTTTGTGTATTTACATGAATGAATGAATGAAATGAATGAAAGTTTATTCAGGCATTTTCGAAGAAAAGAAAACAGCTAATAATAACAATTTAAGTGCACATTTGAAGTCCGTAAGGAATAGGTAAGAAGTGTGAATTTATCAAGCCCTACCACTTGAGTGCGTGTTCAGTGAACGTTCCACATCTGAGATTCTAATTACAACTGGAGTAAGATGAATAACCAGAGAGAGTGCCAACCATCTGTAACCCCTGCTACCAGTGTAATGTCTCTGTGTTTTATTGTCAACACATATGCTGCAAGCTCTTCTTCTGCTTTGTAAGCCATAAGCAGTTTAATTACCTGCAATTAACATTGAGTTTGTTAGATGAGGAGCAGGGACAGAGGGGGGCAAACCGAAACAAAGAAAAGTGTGGACTCACCAGCTGCTGATAGTTGTGGTTTGGCATATATGTGCTCATATTATTTAGTTCATAAATATAAGTTACAGATATTCAAAGAGGTTGCTTTATTATTAGAATGCAAAACATTGTATTTACGTGTCTATAAACATGGGGTTTAGTTTTCTAAACTTAGTTGGAAGGAGGCGTAAGACAGGGTGTGTATGTGTATAGATGTATATGGTGTGTATGTGTTTGCAGCACTATTGCCTTAGTCTGTGCTGTGGTGACAGTGATGTATGGGTAATTTAAAAAGTTGTTCTTTTCCACAGAGCGGTCTGCAGTCACACCAGCCAACCGCAGCCCATTCCCCAACAGCGTTGACAAAACTCATCTACATCCACTCCAACACACAGAGAGAGAAAGACAGAGAGACAGAGAAAGACAGAGAAGACAGAGACAAGGAAAGTAGCA